GTCTCTGTCTCTATTGCCTGCTCTCTCTATTTCTCTCTCTCCTTTTCTCTAGTGTCGTCATAATCTAGAGCTGTGTTAATGAGAGTGATGTTCAAACAAGCCTGGGTGAAAAGTGTGATATGTTAATGTTATAAGGTTCTGGGCTAGTTAAAAAATATCTGGGGCTATAGCCCTGGAAGCCCTGCCTTGAAAAGAAGCGCACTGAATTTACTTGATTCAAATGTGTATATCAGTTGCACATGAATACAGGACGTTACATCAACATAATACTTTCCTTTCAGTTCACTAATTTTTGTCAGGAGTTGAAAGTATGTTTAATTCACGTGGAACTGATACACACATTTGAATCAAGTCAAGTCAGCCTTCATTTTTCGCAGTGTGAAGTCAGCCTTTGTTTTCCACAGTGAGGGATGCAGATGTCCAGCTGTTATTGGTGAAAGGTTTTTCCCTTGAGCAATCCTCCCTGCTGGTCATAGGTACAAAATACTTTCATTCAATCAGTCTCATCACCTCATCATTTCTTTTTAATTATTGCCCCAATGGTGCAGACTAACAGTGCAGACGAGTATTTTCGTATGATGCTGTTTTGTTTATTTATTTGTTTGTTTTTAAATGCAACAACTTTTAGTCTGATTTCATTTGTTATTGCCTGACCTTCCCCATGTTGCTGGATGACTAAGGATGTTTGGCCTGCGTGTCACTTCATATTTAGGCCCCAGTGAAATATGAAGTCATGGACAACTACTTAAGAGTTCTTAAAGACTTAAGGTTAAATCTGAATGGGAATATATGTCAACTAGACCTCGTTCAGAAGAATTTCACAAGGCACCAATAATTGTGACTCATTATTTTTGAGGACAAAAATGTTTTTGTTTTTTTTCCTTTGAATACTTTGACTTCACTGGAAGGATACACTTCTCTTATGTTTTCAGTGGAATATCAAACTGAAAAACAACAAACACCTTTACTGAGCTTGCCAACAATTTTGAAGGCACTATGTGACTTATCATAAGACTCACAAAATGCTGAGAACACTCTTCTCTGACATGTTAGATGTTTCTATAGGAAGATATCTAATCTGCAAGGAAAATGGGAATTTGCATGAGTATGTGGTGAATAAGACTGATTAACCACAATGTTTGAGATGACACAGAGTACGTTTGTTTAACCCCTTAAATGACCAGAAGATGCCTGTGGGTCCAAACTTTTATTACACATTTCTGTAACCATAGAATAAACCTTTCGAATTGTATTCCACAGAGTTACTGAGTAGTAAGCCTTAAAATGAAATAAGCTTGGGAATTCATTTTAATTTTATAGATGACTAGTGAAGAAACACAAGGCCAGGTCTAGACTACATGAAGCTTCTTTCCAGATGAACCTGACCAACTTAACTTAGTATTTGTTATTCAGTTATTTGGATAAACTTTGCGTAAGAAAAAATCAATAAACATGTAATATCTTGTTTTTAGTCTTAGTCTGCAAAACAGAATGCCTGGACACAGCTAGCAGATATAGCGATATGTCTTGCACTAAGCAGGATGGCCACATCTAAGCAGAGCTATAAGAAAATATTTCTCAAATAAACTATAAACTACACCATTGTTTATGGTAACTGCACGCAATAAAGAACTACTTGTCCTTTCTTGTTTACAGAGCAAAGCACCCCATTGATCTGGCCTCTAACTCACTCACATATAATACATATTAATACATAAATTCCAGCACAAATTTAATTCCAGTTTGAAAGTCCTAAAGCATACTTACGAACTACAGACTAACCAACTGTTAAATTGGTTGACACTTTATTTTAAGCACTGTATTTGCTGAATGTATTGCTTCAGTTCTGTCCTTCAAAATAAGGTTTTCTGTAATGAAAGCCTCGTTATTTAACACCACCAAACCTGACAGATTTGGCTAATAACAAGATTGAAATTCACTACTGAAGACTCGAGACTTGACTTGAACTCATGTCCCAAACTCTTGACTCTTACTCAGACTTACACTCCAGAGACTCAAGATCTGCCTCGGACTCACGTGGAGCGACTTTTGAACATCTCTGCTGACTACTGACTTAGAAGGGTGTCCAACTTTTGCTCTTTTATTGTTTTTCTATTTTATAACCTTTTAAAATCCCAGTCTTATTACACACTAAGGCTTATTATTCAGTAACTTCAGGGACTTCATGGCAAACTGGCTGAGCTTAGGTTATAGAAGTGTGTATAAAACTTTGGGCTTGCCGGTAGGCCCTGGCTATTTAAGGGGTTAATTTCATCAAATATAAAGTAACTATAACATCAAGACAGAGGAAGGTTGCAAATGCGAAGTAGCTTTATTAGGGACAGTCCAATACTTATCATCACAGCAGTCAGGGGTCAAAACACAAGGCAAAAGCAAAGGCACTTCAATACTCGAGTAACAGAGGTCAAAAACCAACACAAAGAAAAATGGTTGGTACTCAGGAAGGAAACACAGAGACTTCGCCGCCACCGAAACAAACAAAGAAGTCTTAATGTCCTAGAAATGAGCTGCAGGAGAGTGAGAGAGAAGGAGAGTGGGCGGAGCCAGGGAGAGTCCAAGTTGAGTCTCCTCAGAGGGGGAGACATGACAGTACCTGTGCACTGACATTGCAGAAAAATTAATATTTGTATCTATTATATTTTTTAGAATAGTTCGCTGCTCAGGCTGTATTTATTTCTCTTCACTTCAAAAATCAACAAAATATGTAATTTGGCCAGGGGTGCCCAAACCTTTGCATATGACTTTAGCTCTCCATGCTATCAAAATAGAACTGAACTCTTCTATTCCCTCCCCTGCTACTTCAACAGCCAACAAATGTCCCTCACCTCGGTGTTATGCCCCATTCCGTTATTCCTTTCATTTCATACTAACCTCTCTCAGTCATTCTGATCTTCCTCCTTATCAGTAAATCTAAAAGTGAGCTGCTCTCTGTCTGTTAGTACCTCTTCATCTTTCCATCCCTAAACAGCCATATTTCACACTACAGTGCGCTCATCTCTGAGCTGCATCTAACATTTCTCATTTTCAGGAAGGTAAAGTATCACTATAAAAAAGGAAACTGTTCAAAGTATTAAGGCAACATGACACATTAAGATTTTCAAGTTTTCTCAACAGGTGCTTTTGTAGTCACCCTTACTAAACTTCATTTGTTCAACCAACTTAGGTTTATCCAGTGTCAGGCTGCCAATAAAATATTACATTTTTAACAGGGAAATTTAGCCTACATTATGTTTACAGCAGTTGGCAGACACTCATGCAGAATGACTTACTAGCCTGACTTAAGGATGCAGCCAAGGAAGTCTGCATTTCTCAGCCTTTATGTCACTGAAGGCTGTTCTGTTTTGAAGCATCCTTCAAATGAGGCTGACAAATGCATCCTTCATTTGTGAGAAATCAAAGAACCCTGGCTGGTGTTTGTCCTTCAAGACCTTTAGTCTCCCACAATCCTTCACACACAGCTCTAAACAATTTGAAAAATGGTGGAAACAGCCACAAGTGGCGAGATGCTGCATTATGAAATGTAATGAAGTGTAAGTTTTAATTTCATTTTTTTAACATAAGATTTAAATGTGTTGAGTTGCTTACATTAGTAAGCTGTGGCATGTGCACACTGCTTAGGCCATTGCATGAGTGAACACTGAAGAAGAGGAGCCATCATATACCAGTGCCAAGAAGATTTCTCCTACCTCAACTGCATCCTTAGATTTGAGACACGGCTACAGTCTAGTGTTACTAATGTAGCCTTATGACTCTTAGTTCTTTCCTTGTTTTTTTCCATGTCTATTTATATTTCTTTTGTTGAAATAGAAAATAATGTTTCTGAGAGACTGCCAGTGACCTGTGGTGTTCCCCAGGGTTCGATTCTTGGGCTTTTTTAATTTATACATGCTTCCTCTTGGTCATATTCTACATATGGGGTAACTTACAGCTATGGTGGATTTGAGTTTTGCAGTTTAGAAGCATAATAACTGAAAGAGTCTCTCCATGTTTTCTGTATTTTACAGAAGGTTTTTGCAGAAGGTCAGTATCTGCAGATCTAAGATCACATGCTGGAACATAAACAGATAGACACTCTGTGATGTAAGCAGTGCTTTAAGGTCATTTAGAGCCTTAAACACTAGTAGCAGAGCTTTAAAATCTATCCTGAACGATACAGGCAGCCAGTGCAGCTCTTTTAAAACGAGAGTAATTTGATCTCTCCTTTTGTTTTTGTTAGGATTCGTGCTGCTGCATTTTGTATGAGTTGTGAGGGATGTATTGTTTTCTTAGGAAGTCCAGTAAGAAGATCATTACAGTGATCAACTCTGCTTGTAACAAATGCATGAACGAATTTCTCTGCGTTGCTCTGAGATAGAAAATGCCAGACTTTAGCAATATTTCTCAAGTGATAGAAAGCTGCTTTAGTGGCTGTGTTTACATGTGGGATAAAACAGAGCACAGAGTATAACATCACACCCAGGTTTCGTACTGCAGGTTTGGTAAATAAAGCTAAAGAACCAAGCTTTCTCTGAGTTTTTGTACCAACGATCAGTATTTCATTTTTTTTTTTATTTTATTGTATTTATTTATATTTAGTCATTTAGAAATATTTAGTGGATACTAAACTCAATGTGAGAACTAGTTTGGGTGGTACAACCTATTTTGATTCAGTAATACATAAACATGAACTCAGTAAACACTTACGTTATAACTAGCCTATGTTTAAATTTATGTAATGCAGAGGTTCTACACTAATTACCCATATACCAAAATCAAGAGCCATTTAGAAACCTTTAGTAGTAGGCCTAGCGTAGAACCAATTCAGTGCAGAGGAGAAGATCTTGCTCTGGGCAAGAACATCAGACTCATCAGCTGCAGGAGAAAAGCAGGACTTGGGGGATAGAGAACTGAAAGAAAGCAACATTGAGGGAACAAATGTAAAATGCAGTGTTTTTTTCAGCTGCAGAATTACACAGAGATGATAGAGGTTCAAAGTAAAACTAATGTCAATGAAGAAAAGGAGATGAAATATTCAGGAGTATTCTCTCCCCAGGCTAGAAATGTATTCTGATGAGCGGGCATGTTCACGTAGTACAGAGAAACTTAAAGGCATCTCACTTCCAGAATCTAGCTCACAAACATTAATTCGAGGGGAATAGCCTGTTCACACATTCACACAACACATTTTCTTGCACACTCTTAAAGCTAAAGGTGCCAAAAAAGTTTTTTTGGAGTGATGCCAAGGAAGAACCACTTATGGTTTCCTAAAGCACCTTTCAGTGGATGATTTTTGAAAGAACCTATATCTGTAAAAGAGATGTGTGAATGCAAAGGACCTTTTTAAAGTTATAGAACCTCCACATAATGTAAAGGGTCTACACTAATAAAAAGTTTTTCCCCATAGACCTGTGCATCCAAGCCAAGAAGGCACCTTTATTTTAGAGATTGTACACGGAGTAAAAATTTTATGAAAAACTTCTATGATTTGTAACACTGTTCTTGTGCAGAGCCATCTTTTTAAAAGGTTCTATATATACTCTTAAAATACATATCTTAAAAATTAATTTGATGAAAAAAATTATGATTATTTGTGTGATCTCATAAAATACTTTCAATGGTTCAAAGGTCAAAACTCATTACTACTTTATTACATGATAACTACACTATAATAAATGATTTGCCAATTCAGTGGCAGATTAGATTTTTTTTTTTACAAAATAATTTAAACTACTATTAATAATAATCAAGATAAACAATTATTCCACCAATAAATATAGTTCTTTTAGAATATGGTAATGTTGCCAAGCAATCATGGACTACTGAAACAGGACAAAAATCTTCATTTGGCCATCACTGTATATTGCGGTCATTTAATGAACTTTTAAACTTTTAATCACATAATAATGAAAATAGAACATAGAGCAGTGTTTAATACAATTATTTTTTTTTTGTTTTCATATATACTTTTTGCTCTGCAAATTACTACTGCAAAGACAATGCTAATTTCTACTATTCTGTGAGATTTCCAGTCTTATTTAGCACCAAACTAGTGGTGCTGTACATTTCTTTTCTCATGCAGGGGCTCAATCTCAGACAGCTCCCTATTCCCTACATAGTGCACTATGTAAAAATACTGGCTCCTGCACCCTTATAGTGCATAATATGTTTATCAATAGCCATTCTGGATTCAGGCTCACATGCACAATGCTATACTGTACACACAGTGCACTGTTTGGGTGTAGAAGCTAGAATTCCATAACTGACAGACCACTCTGTCTTGGAAGGTTGGAGCCGTTTGAGATTCAGTCTGGGTTTTTATGCTACTTCAGGCAGATCTGACTAAAACATGGATATTTGAAGCATGTAAGACATTTAGGTGACACATTCTTTACTCTTTTATATTGCAGTTGCGATTGGGTGAACTCTGTTAACTCAGGAAACGTAGTGTAATCAGTTACCTTATTATTTTTAGTTGAGCTGACTTTTAATTTTTTACCATGTGCAGTTTATTCCTTTGGGAAAAAAACAAATGGAAGACCGCTCCTCAGTCAACATAACGCTGCTTGTCACTCACAGTCACGAAAGGTTTTAAATATCCTCATTGGACAATTTTATGCTCACTGTTTCAGTTTAACCTCTTTATTTTTTGCCAAAACTTAACTATAAAACAAGAGTAGTACAGTAATACTTTAGGTTAAATAAAAGCATGATTCTATTGAACAAAAATGGACTAAAAATTACAGACATTAATTTTTAGTTCTCAGTAATAATTAGACCTTGTCTTAGGATGTAAAAGGCCCTGACAGTTCCCCTCTAGTTATTGCCTAATAAAGTAGCAAGCAGTTAATTGGCAGCTACGGGCTTGATAAAGCTTAAAAAGAGTGTTATGGAGGAATCATGATGTCTCACTACACTTAAGTGTTACTGAAAGGTGTCATTTTTTATGATCTGTTGAAAATACATTCCTAAAAACTAAGGTGCTGAAATGAGTTTTATGGAGAGACGTCAGTGAAGAAGCACTTTTGGTTTCCTAAAGAATCTTTTCATTTATGGTTCTTTAAACAACCATTTTTGGAAATGTGACCCAATGTAACAATGTATATTTAATGTAAAGGTTCTACATCAGTTAAACGTTTTACTACTTTCCAGCTGAGAACCATTGAGGAACCTTTATTTTCAAGAATGTAGCTAGATGACCACCACAGCACAGGTATGAGTTGTGTTCTACCTTCAGAAGGAGAGTAATGGAGTGAAAGAGAAAGAAGGAGCATGGTTGTGTGTAGATGAAAGAGAGATTTGATCTTGGCAGCTTGATACACAGTAAAAGGAAGAAAAAAAGAAAAAAAACGTAAAAGTGATAGACTTAAAACACACAATAAAAACACACAAACATTCAGTTTATTCCCGGAGGCATTCTGGACTTAAGCAGAGACCAACCTTAAACGCAAGCCCCTCTTTTTAGTCCTCTTTGCGCCTCTAAGCCGCTGATATGTTTATGCGGCGTGCTGAGGACCAGCGCGCTGATGGACAGTGGGTGGAGGACTCTTGGCAGGCAGAACGAGGTTTTGGACAGGTTTGGATTTTGCAAATACATGAAGAGGATTTGAGAGTCGAAACCTTGGACTTAATCGTGCAGCCGCAGACACACATTCATAATGCCATTCAAATGTGTTTATCTCCATCCTGGATGTTCAAGGCGCTTTACAATGACAGGCAGTGGATGAAGGAGAAACTCAGTATGGGACGTACTCATCATATACGCTGAAACGGCTCCTGAAATCGCTTTCTCTTCCTTTTCTCCTCGCTTTGTTCCCCCAATCTCCTCGTCACAAACATGCTTTCATTCATATAGGACAAGGAAATGTACAGCCATAAAAATCTCCGCTGAAAATTTTGTTTCAAAATGATTTCAAATGATTTTGGCGCCCTTCAAAATAACACACCCCCCACTCAGTAAACAGCAGCTCGATAAAAATATCATCCCCCTACCTCTCTCTCTTTCTCTCTCCCCTCTATATCTAACTCTCTCTTTCTCTCTCTCTCTCCCCTCTATCTCTACCTCTCTCTCTCTCTGTCTCTCCTTCTCCCTCCCCTCTTTCTCTTTCTCTCTTCTTCTCTTCCCTTTATCTCTAACTCTCTCTCTCCTTCTCTCTCCCCTCTATCTCTGACTCTCTCTCTTTCTCTTTCTCTCTGCTTAACTTCCCCTCTTTCTCTCAGTCCTTCTCTCTCATTTTCTCCCTCTCTCTCTTTCTCTCTCTTCCCTGTCTCCCTTTTTGTCCTCTACCTCTCTCTTTCCCCTCTATCTCTTACTCCCTCTTTCTCTCTCTCTCTCCCCTCTTTCTCTCTCCCCTCCCCTCTTTTTCTCTTTCTCTCTTCTTCTCTCTCTCCCCCTCTGTCTCTCTCTGTCTCTCCCTTTCTTTTCTCTACCCTCTCTCTATTTCTCTGTCCTTCTCTATCTCATCTGTCTCTCTCTCTCTTTCCATCCTCTACCTCTCTCCCCTCTCTCTTTCTCTCTCTCCCCTCTCTCTTTCTGTCTCTCTCTGTCTTTCTGTCCCTCTATGCTGTCTCCCCCTCTCTTTTTCTCCTTTTCCCCATTTTGTCCCTCATCTCTCACCCTCCCTTTCTGTCTCTCTCTCTTTTTCCTTTTATCCCCCTCTCTATTTCTGTCTTTCCCTCTTCTCTCTCTCTCCCTCTGTATTTCTCTCTGCCTCCCCCTCTGTTGTTCTCTCTGTCTCTGTCTTTTTCTCTCTCTCTCTTTTCCCCATTCTCTCAGTTCTCTCTGTTTTTTCTCTATCTCTCCCACTCTGCCCCCTCTATCTATCTATTTCTTACTCTCACTCTGTCTCTCTCTGTCTCTTCCTGGCTCTCTCTCTTTTTCCATTTCTCCCTCCTTCCTCTCTGTTTTTGCCCCTCTCCCTCTCCTGCTCTCTCTCCTACTCCATCTCCCTCCTTCTCTTTCTTGCTTTCACTCTGCCACCCTCTGTTTCTCTCTCTTTCTCTTTTCCCCCAATCTCTCTCTCCCTCTGTTCTCACTCTCTCTCCCTCCCTCTCCCTCTCTGACTCTGATATGCTGAGAGTGGAGAGGAGGGATTTTATTTGAATGCTGATCTGTTGCTGTTCGCAGGACTCTGAGTTTACTCTCTGTGTGGAGTGTGTGCTGGATGAAAACAGCAGTGTGTGTGTTCACAGACTATCTCAGGAGGAAAAGGATGAACCGCTCTTTAGAAAAGAAGCACTTATTACATGTTTGTATTGGTGAAAACTGAACAGGACCTGCATGGAAGTATTCCCAGAGCGTGCTGTTGATTACGAGTCTGGTGCAGTGGTGGGAACTGTATGCAGTGGAGACTGAGATTTCAAACATTTTTTCACTATTAGGACAGAGGTAATGTGATATTCTTGTTTACCTGTTTTTTGTGTATCATTTTTTTGCATTTTTTTCATGCTGTAAAATGGCTAATTTTATTGATTCAAGGGAACTTTTTACAGTACACCACAATAGTAAGTTTTAAATTAAAATGCCTTTTCAAATTGGCTATAAAACAAATTTCAAGATATAATGTTTATGTTAGGGTAAAATCTCTTTAAATTAAGTACTGACACTTTAATATTAAAGTTGAGGTTATATAAACATTTTTTTGATTCCTTCCGTTGCTGCTGAGTTGGTTCTTCTCAATTTGCATGGTTAGGACTTTGTGGCAGTCTAGAACCTTATAGTATTTGAGGACCTGGATCACCATGGCTGGACAGCGTTTCCTGCTTCACATTGCCCTCGCTGCTTTGCTTGGGTGGGCTTCGCAGGCCCAGGATGAGACGACCACAGAGATGGACATGCAGCTGGCCAATCAGACGACGGACCCCACAGTGACCTCAGTGACAGCAGAAGGAGCTGTGGCACTGAGCTCACCTGCAGGAGAGGTGGAAGAGGAAACTGTCCCGCCCATGGGGACCCGTTGCCAGGGCTACTATGATGTGATGGGCCAGTGGGATCCGCCCTTTAACTGCACCGCGGGCATCTTCCTGTACTGCTGTGGCACCTGCTTCTACCGCTTCTGCTGCCAGTTCCGTCAGCAGCGGCTGGACCAGACCTCGTGCTCCAACTACGACACGCCCATCTGGGCCAACACAGGCAAACCAGTGGCCACCATCACTGAGGGGCAGTCTGATCACGAGCGGGACCGCACCCATATGATCGTCTATATCATCTGTGGCGTGGTGGCCATCATGGTCCTGGTGGGCATCTTCACCAAGCTAGCCCTGGAGAAGAGCCGAGGGGGTCAAAATGACCTCAGTAACTCCAGGTGAGTTTATGATGGGCCACAAAAGGGGTATTTTGTAAGTTTCACACTCACAAAAGTGTTGAAGTGTGCTTAAAAACATACAAAAAGCATGATTTATAGCTGTAGCTTGGCTAAAAATCTAATTTGCAAAATTTCTGTTTCCATATGGGTGTAAACTACACTGCTTTTACTGCTTTTAAGTGAAAATATGGGTACTTTGTTAAAATGTACTCAATTAAATATGCAAGCACTGAGTATCTATGTTCACATTCACATATTCAACTTTCAAGTAAAAAGGAAATTCCCCTGGTCTTTGAGGTTTTAACAAGTAATTTGAAGGTCTAAATGATAATGTAAGGAGTAAAAAGTATGTTATTTTTTATCTGCAAGTATATGCAAGTAATCAGTTTCAATAAAGAGTAGTAGCAGCCATCTCAAAGCCTTAAGTTTTGTAGAAATTTTATACATAACAACATGTTACTTGAATTTGCTTGCAGTTTAAGTGATGCTCAGTGTAATCAGGCTTTTATTACTTGTTAGCTACATTTGCCTCATAGTTTCAGTGCAAAACTAAAGAGGTAAAATGTGGACACTGAACATGCAAGACAAGTAACCAGTAAATATCTGAGCTTTAACAGTGTAGATGAATGTGGGCTCACTATTAGGTAGATAACAGGTCACTGTTGCCCTTTTTATGTATGTGTTGTAACTGCTTATGAATCATTTTAGGGTGTTTATGACCTAATAACTAACCGTTAATAAACTTATGTTAAACCATTCATAAACACTTCATAAGAGTACTCTTATTCTAAAGTGATATTGGAAAAATGTTGATTTTTTATTTTTTTGCAGAACTATCTCTTTAAAGCCTTTCTCAGTGACCTTTTTGTACGGTGCATGAAATTCACATTTGCTCCCACAAGTGCTACATTCAGTTTAGTGCCAAATAAGTGACACGAAGGATAATGTCACTGCAATGTTGTGTTGACGGATTCTAGAAAGGGCATTCTGTAGAGCTACTGTACGATTCAGAGTAGATCTGCAGTAAAAATACTTTAATGCTCAGCCAATCATTGAATTGATTATATGTAAGAAGTGATTCCCCTTATTCATTTAATCATTCGTCCCTCCATTCATTACTTTTGTCTTCCCTGTCTTTCAGCACACTCCTGACCACTTAGGCCCTCACTCCAAGTCTGTCTTATCTATTCTCTCTATCCTGTCTCAGTGCAAATCAAAACACTTTTGTCCTTGTTAATTTGAATATTCAAGAGCTCTCTCTGAATAGCAAATGACCTGTCAGGAGCAATAAACGCAGAAAAAGAGAATTCCTAATAGTTCTTCCCTCGCTCTGTGTTCTCAGATAGGGGCTGCTCTCATAATGTAAACACCTTTTGTAAGATTTTGTGGTGACAAAAGAATTTGCCCTGAAGATTAGTACCTCTCTGAGGTTAACACCTCTCTAAAATCGTTCACCCCCCATATGCTGAACACTGCTCCTCAGATTAACTTTTCTTACAAGATTAAGAGTTCTCTCAAGATTAACACGCTGCACCAAGATTAAACAAACTTCTCCCGGATTAGTTTTCCTCATGCTCTCTTTGCTCTCTTGCTGCTCTCTGAGAACCTTTTGTCACAGTCTCTCACTGTGCCTCAGACTCTGCTTCCACAGAGGTTGGAAAAGGCAAAATGGGATAAGGTGTTTCTGTGTTTCTGTTACATACTTAACATTTGTATCATTCATATTTTAGCATTTACTGTATCTTCCTTCTTCATTCACTTTCAGTCATGTGTACAGTAGAGGTGTGATACTGCGTGTGTATAGAAGATGGTTACATAGGGATTTTATGGGATACATATATATATATATATATATATATATATATATATATATATACACACGCACAAAAATTACTTTCAATGATAAAAACATACAATGTCATTTGCTTGTTACGCAACAAGTTGATGTTCTCAAGCATGCCACTCCATCCTATTGCATCTACCTTTAACCAAAATGTTTATGTTAGACTTCACACTTGAAAATAACAATAGAAGGACCCTTTTGGGTGCTATATAGAACCCTTTTTAAAAAGTTCTATATAGAGCCATCTCTACTACATTTAAGCATATTTTTTATCAATCCAAAGAAACCTTTCCTTTCACAAAGAACCCTTTAATCATGTGCAGGGTTTTTTGAGTGTTCATGGTTGTATATAGAACCATCATCTTTACTAAAGAACCCTTGAAGCACCACTTTTTTAAGAGTGTGGATTTGTGAAATAGTTTGATTCTATCGTTGGTGGGGTGGGGGGGTGTCAGGGGTGTGGGGGGTGGTAGGGGACTCAAAAGCATAAATAAATTGCAAAATTCATTATATATATATATATATATATATATATATATATATATATATATATATATATATGTATGTGTGTGTGTGTGTGTGTGTATAAGATTTTTATTTACGGGCTTAGTTTATGTCATTATGTATTCTTTGAGTGAGAGTGATTTTTCCTTATGAAACTATATATTGTCAAATAAATATATACAAACACAGTTCCAAAAAAGTTGTAACAGTAGGTAAAATGCAAATAAACTCAGAAAGCTGCGATTTATTAATTCATTTATAAATTGACATATCTGATCAACTTCATTGTTTTTTGGCTATAAATACACACACTTTCTGCAATGTGTTTCTGTACTAGGCACAGTAGAAGCCATATGCCAACAATGTCCAGAAACCCTGCCAACTTCTCTGCGCTCAAGCTCATCTGAGATGGTGTATATTGTGGTCTGATAAGTCAACTTTTCAGATTGTATATGGAAATAATTCTTGGGGCCAAGGAAGATAAGGACCATCCAGATTGTTACCAGTGTAAAGATCAAAAGCCATAGTATTAGGGATTTTGTGGATAACTTGCACGTGTGAAAGCACACACATTAATGCTGAACACGTTTTGGAGCAACATATGCTGCCTTTTAGATGCTGTTTTTTTCAGGGACGCTCATACTTATTTCAACGACAACACCGAGCCACATTCTGCACCTGTTAAAACAGCATGGCTGCATAATCAGCGAGTGTGGATGCTGAACTGGCCTGTCTGCAGTCCAGACCTTCCCACTAAAATTGTCCAAAGTGGATCAGTTTGGGTCCCCAAACATTTTCTTAAGTATTGCTAAACAGAAAGGGTATGTAACACAGTGGTAAACATTTTCCTGTCCCAACTTTTTTGAAACATGTTGCAGGCATCATATTTGGAATGTATGTATATTAAAAAAGTTCATAAGGAAAACATAAAATATTGGGCTTTCAATTTAATAAAGATCAAACAGAATTTACTAAACACTGCTTTCTGGTTTCATTAGCATTTCACATACTGTGCCAACAATTTTGGAATTAGCTTTGAAAAAAAATGGATGGTCTGACCTGCTGCCTGCTTCACTTTTTACCTGCCATCTTTGTTAGTGCTGTAATCGTTAGATGACGATTTAAATCCAAATCCTAGGAGTTCTCTTTGAATTCTCTTCCAATGCACTCGCAATCTTCAGATTCATCTTTGGTTATAAATAATGAGTATGTCATGTTGCAGGTTGAGATCCATTTAAAATGGTTACTACTGATGAGATGCATCATGAAGAAGAGGTAGATAAATATACGTCATAGCTGTCTAACATAACTGTTGATGTGTGTTATTTAGAAATCGGATCTTTCTGTGAGTTATGGCTGTACAACTGTGTCATTGTGTAAATAAGGGGTCCAGTAAAGATTTTAGGGTATTGCTGCAGGCCCCCCTGTTTCATAGCCCCCAGTAAAATGTATTGACTTTAACTTAGATTGAATGTAAATAAGGTTTTTGCCCTCTCTTGTAAAGTTGACATTTTGGAGATACTCATTTTTCTTTGGACAGCAACGACATGCTTTGTATATTTTTCCTAACACTGAAAAATGAATAACTTGTACTTGGCTGTTCTGACTGTAAAGTAAGCAGGTTGGAGAGGTTCACTAGTTTTATTTGAGGAAGGCCAAAACAACATACCACAATCCTTTAAGCACAATTTTGCTATTCAATAGGTCATAATTCAGTATGCATCAAGTCCTTCAGCAATGGCATTCAAAGGTGAGAGTGCATGGTTGAGATAACAGATTAAAGAGAATACTGGGCCAAGGGCATGACTGTGTACCATAGTAAGCCCACAACTGTCGCAGAATTGAGAGAATTAGCACGTCTGATGGCATGTCCTATCAGTCTCTACTGTAATACATGTTTGAGAGTCCTTTAAGACATCACATTTTATAATGTGAGTGTTGTGTGGCTCTTGAAAGGTTTTTACCCTTCAGAAGCTTAAGGAGAGGTCAGTGACTCTTAGATGGCTTAAGCTAAGCACATGCATCACCATATCATTGCTGTCATAAGAAAACTTTAGATCTCCAAAATGGGAATTTTGTAATAGAAATAAACCATTATTTTACCTTAAATGAACTGCAAGGACCCTACACTGCACTGACTAAATACAGTTTCAAAGTAGCAACCAACTAAATGATAGCATATAGCAATAAATTATAGGAATAAAAAAGGCTCAAATTGTACACGTTGCTTGTATTTAATATTTTACCCTTATGTCCTATTAAAATGTCTGTGGGTGTCTATGTGTCAAAAAATTCTTAATTCATTCTTACACACGTTAGGGTGCCTTTAAGACTGAGATATGTAAATGACCTCTGGTCTGATTTGCTGTGCTGCATTGTGCATCATTTGAAACCCTCCTCATACTGGCTGTACGCAAAACTGGCAGGGTGCACATAAAGAAGTTGGTTTTTTTTTGTGACGTCACAAGAACAGTACATATAAAATGGGCTGTTTTGTGGCTTATTTTCCATATATGGACCGTATGAATTTTGGAGTTACTATGTTGAGTTACTATATCAAAATCTTTATTTAAAAAAAACAAGAAAAATTAAATTTTCTTTAGGTCTTAAGATTCATAACTCAATTAAAAGCCTGTGGTTTAAGGTCATTTGT